GAGAGAGAGAGAGATTACACACTATTTTTGGTTTAGAAAGAGATTACACTATTTTTGGTTTGACCATGACGTGTGTATATGTGTTTATCTGTGTATATATGTGTGTCTGTGTGCGTGTATTTATTTGTTATTTATTTGTTTTTGGGCTAAGTCGATATGCATATGTACATACATATGTACTTTGTCTCAGATGGGAGGAAGAAATACTGTTCTTTTAGATGCTATCAGTTGGAGGATACCATTGGTTAGTGACATACCTACCATAATATTCGGAGCCGATGTGACACATCCAGAAACAGGGGAAGATTCCAGTCCATCTATTGCAGCGGTAATAACTATTCTTGGTTTCTTCTTTTCAGTTTCTAGTTACCATCTTGTGTTTTCTGAAACCATTTTGTTGGTTCTTTGTTTTTATATAATTTCCCATTTTATAAGTTCTTTTATTGTTTGTGAAATCACTAACGTGGGTGTTTCAGATACTGATATATTTTATGATTTCATGTCGCAGGTTGTAGCTTCTCAAGACTGGCCAGAAATAACTAAATATGCTGGGCTGGTTTGCGCACAGGCTCATAGACAAGAGCTTATCCAGGATCTGTTCAAGACCTGGTATGATCCTAATAGAGGCACAGTCTATGGTGGAATGGTTAGGTATGTGGTGCCGTTACTATTATGTTTCGTTTATTTTTTATTTTTTTGGTCTTGACAGTAATTTGTCTCTAATGATGGTTGATATTGTTATACTTTACTATTGGTAAGAATGTTTTCCTCAAAATGGTTGATTCACCCCTTAAAATGTAATTATACTAATGTATGTTTATGCTCCTTAACCTGAACCTTAAACTGTAACTAGAGATTCTGACATTCTCATACAATTGGCATGGGACACCAGGTTTTGAATTCTGTCCATAGCAAGAGAACAACATAATCTCATAAAATTTGCTGCTATAAACTTCCAAGGATTTGTTTGTTGATGCTTCATGCTCTGTTGGTATTATTTAACGTCCATGTTGTGAATTCATGATTCAGTCAAATATAATCTACATAAATGAAGAGAGAGAGAGAGAGAGAGCTTTGCCGAATAGTTTCTGTTCTCTCAAGATGAAAAGTATATGTTTTTCTGGTTTTCTTAGTTTTTACCAAATGATTTGTCCTGCAGAGACCTCTTGATGTCCTTCAAAAAGGCAACTGGCCAGAAGCCACTGCGAATCATCTTTTACAGGTGTGTTAGACACGAATTTATCTGCATAGTGTGCATGTGTACACATTAGGTTCTTACCAGTATTATGTTTTCAAGTTATTAATCCATGGGGTTGAAACTAAACTTCAGGGATGGCGTGAGCGAAGGTCAATTTTATCAAGTGTTACTTTATGAGTTAGATGCCATCCGTAAGGTGGGTTCTTGTGGTCTTTCTCTCCTCTCTCTCTCTCTCTCTCTCTCTCTCTCTCTCTCTCTCTCTACGTACGTACGTTACGTTACGTTACGTTACGTTACGTTACGTTCGTTCGTTACGTTCGTTACGTACGTACTAACCGTAACTAAC